CAAGGTTGGCTGGAGATACATGAGGCTGTCTCAAAAAAAAAAAAGAAAGGAAAGAAGTGAGGAAGGAAGGAAGGAAGGAAGGAAGAAAGAAAGGACAAAAACCAATCAAAACATTAAATTGTCTAAATAATTTGACAAAATATTAACTAATTTGTATTGTACTTCGGAATTTGAATATAAAAGTCCATTGAAAAGAAACTGATTAATCTTGAGAGGTAAGAAGTCTTGATGGAATTACATTTGCAAGAGTGTATGTGTGACACACTATTATCAACGCCAAAAGGTATTGTTTCTTTCAAGATGAAAACCATATTTTTATTAATGTGATCGATGGCTGAGAATAATGCAAAAGCTTAAACAAGCTAAATGAAATTTCTAATTTAATAAACATGTACTGGTTTATGCATTTAACATATAAAAGCAAAACCAGCATCAAGCATTACACAGCAAATGGGATGTTTAATAAGCATATATGGAGTTATTCTAACATGGGTTTATAAGACATTTATCTTGAGAAAAAGACCCACCCAAAGGGAGAAATATTACATCAATAATCTGTCAGTTTAACTTCTTTAAATGTTCCAAGTGCAATGAGCCATTTTGCAATTCTTTGTAATGAAGTCTAACTTGAAGCAAATGAACAAGGTATAGCTTCAAATCTATGATAAAAATCAGAATGAAAATGTCTTATAATTTTATTAATGAATAACTACACTACTTCAGAACTGATACTACTGATTTTAGAATTTGAAAGAAAATAGTATAATCTAAATTTCAACTAAACTACACCTAAAGTATATATCGTCAACTTTTAGAATAGTTATAAACATTCACAAGTTAATGAAAAATCCATGTTACTTAGAATTTCCCTTAAAATTTAAGTTGAAAATGTTTTCATAAAAATAGTCATAGTGGACTAGGGCAGTAGCTAGGTGACTCAACTAGTACACACAATACCCTAGGCTCCATCCCCAGTCCAGAGAGTAAAAAGTGACTTTTAACTTGGCCTCCTTAGCCATAGCATACAAAGAAACAGCATAAAATTTCTAACAAATGAACTGAAAGATTTCCTCAAGTCACTGAGGAAAATAATCTTCTGTATAATAAATATGAAGTTCACATTTTAGAGAGAAGCCCTAGTATCAGAAGTCTAACATTACTGAACTTCTTTGACTTCTAAGACACAAAGACACAATTCTGAAATACATCCTTTGATATGCTATGTTCTCAAGAAACGAAAAGATAAGGACCTAGTAAAGACCTCACAGAAAACCACACTGATCATCTTTATTAATACTTGTAAGCCTTTTACAGATATATAGTAACTTTCCTTTCACTTAGAAATATTAAGTTAATAATCAATTTAAAAAATGTCGCTGAGCTGGAGACAGCTCATCAGTTAAGAGCACTATCTGGTCTTGTAAATGACTTAGTTCTGTTCCCAGTACCTACACAGGACAGCTCACCTCCTGTAGCTCCAACCCCGGCAGATCCCATGCCTCTGACCTGTGGACACCTGCACTACACACACACACACACACACACACACACACACACACACAATCTTAAAAAAGAAAAAAATGCTGCTGCTGACCACTGAGGACTTTGTGAAAGATGTGTTCTTCTTCATCACTAGAGCTTCACTGAGGCCTCTTCCTCCTAAACCCAAGCTGCCCTTCCCCTTATCTCAGACTTCACCCCCACAACATGCTGACACAAAAAGCTAAAGTACCTCGCTTCTGATAACTCCCCAAAATAAGTATGATCTCTATCCTAGATTCAACGCTGTAACTCAAGTGTCCACTGAGTATCTTTGTGTTTGGAGATACGGGGGATTGAATCAAGAGCCTTGTGCATATTAGGCAAATGCTTTACCCTGGAGATAAGTCTTTAGCCCCACTGCATATCTTCATGTCAACAGCTCACTTTTGTCAGATTTAAAGATAAAATGGTAAAATTTATGTCTCTAAATCTCAGGTGCACTTTTCATCTCCTTTCTGTGAATCATCCACCTAAGATCAAAATCCTTAGATATACACAGTCAAAGAAAAACGAAACAAATCCCATTTCATTACTCTAGCAACAGCTGGCTTAAGTCAAGTCACATTGCTGGCTTTACTTCCTACTATTTTTTCCCCTCCTGCAATTATAACTTTCTTTACAAATTTCCTCAGAACATGGCCGAAGTCACTGTATTCTAATACCACTGTTTCAAGTCCAACACACCCATTCAAGATCTTCTAACAGCAGCCAATCACATGTCCCACCTCTTGTCCGGCTCATTTCCTTCTGTTGTGCTTTGGTTCAACCTATTTCCTATTGCCTGTGACACTTCCTTCAGACTCAATGCCAACCTAAACTGTATGCTTCTCTAATGGAGACTTTCTCCATGAAACTGACAATCTCCAAAACTTCTTTAGTGAATGCACCATTTATAAGTCATGCATACAACCCCCCATTTAACCACATGATTGCATTTTAACATAGCTTCAACATACAATATTAAGTCATAGGGTAAAAATAGGTAACTAGAAATTTTAAAAGATTAAAAAGATTTTAGCAGCCAAAAACAGTCTAGAGATATAAATATAATATTGTGAGACCAAAGGTCAAATAAAACAGGGTGTAATTATATGCAGGCAAAGTAAAACTGACAGAAATCTTTGCTGAGAAAGGCCAATCTACGTATGAGAGATAAGAGTACTAACCTGAATGATCTCTTTCTCTTATGATCTTATTAGCACCTTTTGTTTGGCTCTTATCCTGATGCATAAACTATAGGAAGAATATGAGTTTTCATCTTTTTCTTTTCTCTTCTATGATAAGTTCCTATGCCAAGCACCTCTAGCTGCCCTTTGTCTTGCACTCAGGTGTTTTTCTGTTTTGTTTTTTAAATTTACATTGTTATGAAAACAACATTAGAGAGATTCCTTAGAAGTTTCCAACATGCTATATTAGTAAATCTGGGGCCTTTTATCAAACTGCAATGCTTGTAGGGTAAGGGAAAAATCTGGTGATAGTGATCACACCTATCTGACAAAGATAAACAACTTCAAGAAATTAATTTTCTCTGTATAAATTTAATGAGAAAAAAATTTAATTTACCTAAATATTTTCAGAAAGCAAAAGCTTAAAGTTAAAAATTAAAATCACTAACAATTATAAATATTAGTGAAATATTAGAGATACTAAAAGAACAGTGAGTGGTATCTATCTGAAACTATAAAACTATGTTGTAAATACAAATAAAATAGATTTCTTAAATATAAAAACATGATTGACCACTTTCAGGTGGTATTTAACATTCAGTATTATAAAATTTTGAATCTGGATAAATTACTTCATATTCTCTCTCTCTGGATAAATTCTTTCATTACCCCCCCCCATCAGATAACTACTTTGGGTCTAAGTATCAGGCTTCTTACCAGTCTAATTAAGAACTCTAGACAAAAAGAGCAGAAAGGAGACCAGGATCAAGATGATTGAGGTAGCCTCATAGACATTAGGGAAAGAGAGAGAGACTGTAAGTAGACATCAATTACATGACCTGACTTTCAGGCTTCGAAATCTCTTGAGAGAGGCAGAAGGTTAAGTCTAGGTTACACAGATCTAGGACTAGAACCAAGAGCTACATCCTGGTTTTCTCTATACATTCTGACTCAATCTTATCATTAAATCATTCTAAGTGGACTGCCATCGCACCTTTCATTTCTACCAACCTGTCACCATTACTGTAAACATCTTGTCTTTCTCAGATGAAAGACTTGTTTCCTACCAAGACCAGTAAAGTCCCATTGCAACTCTCAGGCTAGACCTGTCAGGAAAGAGTTTTTCATTTTCTAGTCAGAATTTGGATTACATTTAGTAGTTGTAACGTAGAATATTTCCTTTCTAAAAATAATTTATAAAGTCCACTGTTCTTGACTTTCTTAGCCTAAGGAGCTGAACAATGGAACTAATTAATCCCAACACTTCTGAAATATACTCTCCTACAGAAGTACGTAAATTTCTAAATTTTTACATATACATTTAGATATGTTAAGGAAATCCAACATATGGAAGGATGAGAATTTAGAGCACTTACTGCAAGTTCCGCCACTGAACATTGGAATAGTTTCAAACATCATCTTGTGAAACAACAGTGCCACTGGTCTATAATCCAGATGATTCTTTAACAGGTAGCTATAATAATACACATAGCGCCTCTGACTGGGAATAGTTACTCCCTGGTGGACAGAAAAAAAAGAGAAGCCAAATTCAAAAGAAAAGTTCCATTATCATTATTGCACTAAACTGCTATGATTACTGAGTTGTTCCCATTGAAGAACACACACACACATATATATGTGTATATGTGTGTGTATATATATACATATGTTGAACATGAAGAACATATATATAAATGTTGACTTTAAATGGAAAACACTCAACATAGTAAATTCTCAATATGAGAATTCAGAATAAGTATCAAAAGAAATAAATATCCAAATAACTTCATTCACCGAAAATGCAGTTATTAAAACACCTTTTATTCAAAGATGACAACAATGCTCTAACCCATGAACCCAATAAGCAAAGGCCACTGCATATCCAAAATAAGAAAACTTCTGCACTACAGCTCTGCTGTTTACACCTAAGGTTCCTCACAAAGATGGACTTATTAAACATACAGTTCTTCATAAAATTGTTTACCTACTTTCCAGTCACAAGCATATCAGAATCAGCACACTAGATAGAAGCATACTGCTTGTAAGAAGCAGAAACTGCAGTAGCAAAACTAGATGCTGACCTTAGAGAGCCCAACAAAAATGGAGTATGCAGTTGAATGATATATTAAATGCAAGAACTTGCTAGCAAAGGAACTTAAAGAGTTCCTTGTGCTACATCTATTCCTTTTTTGAGGAAACCAGGGAAGAATAAAATGATTTATAAAATATTAGGTACTACAAATGCTTAAAAAGCAGATAATTCATGTGGCATTTAAAAGGGGGAACCTAATCAGGCATGGTGGTCCAAACCTGTAATCCTACCACCAAAGAGGCTAAGATAGGAGGACTGCTGTGAGTTCAAGACTAGCCTAGGCTACAATAGTTAGTTCCAGGCCAGCCAGAGACACACCTAACAAAACCCTGTCACAAAAAAACTCCACAAAAAGCTGGAAGACAGCTCAGTCGATGAGGTACTTGCCTGGCAAGGATGAGGTTCTTGAGTTTGATCCCTAGAATACGTTCACGTAAAAAAAAAAAAAAGGCGGGGGGGGGTGAGTGCTTTGTAATCTCAGCATTGGGAGGGCAGAGGCGCCCTGGCCAGTCAAGTCTAGCCTACTTGGTGAGTTCCAGGGTCAATGAGACCCCTGTCAACAAGATGGATAGTACTTACTAGAAGATGGACACCGAAGGTCATCCTTTGGGCTCTACACACATAGTAACACTTTTGTACCCATATGCACAATGCACCTGAACATGTACACACATACACTTTGGGAAAAAAAGATAATAATAAATAAAAGGGGGGGTCTGGGTTTTCTAAAACAACCTCACCTGTAATGCAATAAAATTTCCTTCGACTATAGAATGAAATGTGAAAAATTCAACTAAGAATTACGAAGCATATAATAAACATTAAATCTAACAGTGACAGGTGAATCGCTGCTCCAGCATGGTAGTGTCCAGTGCCTATCATCCCAGTACTTGGAAGGTAGAAGCAGGAAGAGAAGTTGTTCAAAGCCAACCTCTGTTACATAGTTGACTCAGGGTCAACTTGGTCTGTGAGACTCTGTCTCAAAACAGAGAACTGCAGAAAATGATACTTTGTGTTCTAGAGGAAAAAACATTCACAATGTTCTTTAATTCACTGCTGTCATCTACACCTCCCTAGTGCCTGAAAAACTCTGAACAAACATCTTTTTTCCCATAAAATAGGTATGTTGAGTAGCAAATACCAGAATAGGTACTGCAGTCTCTCCCTCTGTCTGTCTTTCTGAGTATATACATAGTAAAAACTAGATATAAGCCACTTGAAATCTAGACAAGCCACTAAGATTTTGGTATGGTATAAACATCATACATTTTGTCATCAAGACTTGAATTTGAGTACAGATAGTGAAAATATAAAACTCAATTTTTTTCTTTAGGGAAAGGAGGACAGTAATATGTACCTTTCCTTAACAGAATTCTCATGAGGACAAAAACAGTAAATGTAAGCTATATAAAAGATGCTAAAATAAAAAAATGATATACAGATGCTAATTAACAGTCATAGAAATTAGAGTTGTTCAAACTAACATTAAAAGTATCCTTAAAGTTTAGAATGTTTACGTTTAACTTAAATGGTGTATTATTAACACATTGTTTAATATAAGTTCAACATACAACTTGCCATAGACAACTATGGAGGCAAAATATATCATAGCCAAGTGAGGTAGGGAAATGAGAGGAAGATGAATGAAGATACTTTTTTGAACCACATGCTCTTTTAAGCCATATGAAAGTTTCTAACCAAAAAATTAAATAAAACTTCAAAATATTATAAAATCTACACATAGCCATGTGCTTTAGCTCATGCCTAAAATCCCAACAATGACGCATGGGATTTGAGGCACAAGTACTGTATCAAATTCAGCCCCGGGACAGAGGAGACCCTATCTCAAAAACAAATAATAACAGTAATTCAAATCTTTAAGACCAAATTGTCAAATTAGTACTTATTTGGGTTTACTGGATAACAAGGTATTTTTCTCTTGATCTTCACTTCTGATACATTCGTTAACAGCAATAAAGGGTTTTCAAAGTTTTAAGTTTTCTCAAGTAGCAAGTAACAGGCAGTACCCCTATAAAACAAGTGTTTATATACTCAATCATTACAAAAGGGTCAGGCAAATAAGAATATACAAATCTGCTACAGCTGTCAACACAAGGCCACTAATTTATATGTGAACCAAAACATCAAACTTCAGTGCTCATTCACAGCTGAGAAGCAAGTGATGCAGAAAGGGATGCAGACAGAGAAGTGTATGAAGCCTGCACCACCACAAAGGTCTAGGCAGCAGAGGGGCCCTGGAGCTCAGTAATACCAGTCAGTATTTTAACTATCTGACACATAAGTGTACACACAAACACACACACACACACACACACACACACACGGAGACAAACCAGAGATTAAATTCACTTAAAATATTCATCTTTGATTCTTACACCTCTGTTCAGTTACCAAAACACACATTTAAATACCACTCAAAATACCAGTTCTGATTACTAGTTCAAATGACTTATTGTTTCCCAAATCACTAATTTTATTTTTGTCTTTATTCCCTACTGGTTATGTATCTTAATGTGAATGTATCTTTTCTTCAATGGCTCAAAACTTATTTAAGAATTTGTATTTAAATTTCCATAAGGACGTGAATTAAACTGTAGTTCTACTGAACTGTTATCAAGGCTTATACATTTCTACTTTCAAGTTTTGCAGGTTTTAGAGTTAGCCTAACTAGTAGGTGCTGAAAAAATTTTATGTGCTAATTTTATTTTTTCTTCAACATCTACATGTCTTTTGTTTTCAAATACACTAAAGATTTTTACTATTTGTCTTCTATCAATTGTTTCCATTTTGTCCAGCTTTTGCTTAATGCATTTTGATTCAGTTCAGCATGAGTTAGTAACTGTTAAGTGTCCATGTAGAGTACCCCCTGTGCTAATGTAAAATGGTTTATGTGATGAGTTTTATGCTTTTTGTTATAATGCTACTTAGACACTAGAAACCTGTCATCTGTTTCAGAAATTCACATTTTCCTGATGTATTTTTCATTAATTCTTTATTTTTAAGCCTCGGTCCATATATAATATAAT